GGTCTCCAGCCTCTCCCTGTCCCTCCACCCCAGCCCTGGCAACAGTCACACCATCATCGCCCGGACGTCCGTGCAACAGACCCTTGGCTTCTTCAAGCAGGTGAGGCTTGGGGGGCCTGGTGGGGAACTTGGGGTGGGGTGAGGGCTCCATCTGCAACCCCCCCCCCTCCCAGGTCCTGCTCACAGCCATCCCAGGGCCCCACAGCACCCACTGTCCTCCAAACACCCCGGTGACCCCCATAGCACCCCAGAAACCCTCATGCAGACCTATGAACCCTGCCCAGCCTGGGGACAGGACACAACCATGGGAAAAAAGGGATCTGGAAGAAACCCTGTCTGGTTCCCAGCCCAGCTCTGGTAGCCACATCTGGCACCTCTGGGGCTGGGATTTGGGATGAGTCTGGGCAAGCGTGGGGAAAACTGAGGGAAGAACGGGCAAAATGGAAAAAACTAGGTGATGGTTGGAAGGACCATGTGGGATGAAAGCAGGATAGAGTGAGCTGCATGGACAGAAGGATGCAAAGGAGGGAGGGATGGGTGCAGGTGGGACTGGCATTGTGCTGGGCAACTGGTGCCTGTGTTGGTCCCACAGGAAGCGCTCCTGAGCCTGTGGATCTCCTACAGCGACGGCACCACGGCCCCCCTCTCCCTCTACGACCCCAAGGACTACAACCTGGTGGTGAGCAGCCTAGATGAGAAGGTGGTCTCGGTGACACAGGACCGGGTGTTCCCCTTGGTGGTGGCAGAGAGTGAGGGCACGGGGGAGCTGCTGAGGGCTGAGCTGGTCATCTGCGAGAGCTGCCAGAAGACCAAGCGCAAGAGTGTGCTCTTCACAGCCCTGGTCAGCGTGCGGGTCCACTTTGGGTCCGAGGAGGACCCAACCTATGACTATGACCACGTGCCCAGCAAGCCAGGGCTGGTGGAGACCGGGGCCAGCACCACCCTGCGGGCAGAGGTGGACAGGAAAGCAGAGCCCAGCGAGGACAGCAGGATGTCCAGCGCATCTCACCCCACTGAGGACTTCCCCACCATCCCCACTGGCTTTGTCCAGGTGACCAGGGGACTGACGGACCTGGAGATAGGCATGTATGCCCTCCTGGGTGTCTTCTGTTTGGCCATCTTGGTCTTCCTCATCAACTGTATTGTCTTTGTGCTGAAGTACCGGCACAAACGCATCCCACCTGAAGGCCAGACCAACATGGACCACTCCCACCACTGGGTCTTCCTGGGCAACGGGCAGCCCTTGAGGGCTCACAGTGACCTCTCCCCCCAGCCCGAGAGCCCCGGGAACCCCTTGGAAAATGTCCAGACCTGCTGCCACGGGGACCACCACAGCAGCGGGAGCTCACAGACCAGCGTGCAGAGCCAGGTCCACGGGCGCGGGGACGGCTCCTCGGGGGGCTCCACGCGGGACCAGAGTGAGGACCCTCTCAACTCGCCCACCTCCAAGCGGAAGCGGGTGAAGTTCACCACCTTTGCCACGCTGCCCTCTGACGAGCTGGCCTACAACTCCATCCCCATCGCTGATGAGGAGGACTTGGAGTGGGTCTGCCAGGACATGGGGCTGCAAGACCCTGAAGAGCTTCACAACTACATCCGCAGAATCAAAGAGATCGCTTAGCCCAGGGGCAGAGTGGGGGGTGGGGGGGGGAGGCTGCCACACTGTGCCATGTCACACACCCCCCCTCTCACGCCCCCCATGTCACACCACACAACAGCTGCTTCCCCAGGGCTGGAGACCCAAACTTGGCTCTTCTGTGCAGTCCCTCTTCTGCACATCTTGTGTCCTCAGGCCCTTGCAGGCACCACCCCCCAGGCCTCTTTCTTTACGTGCCCATTTCCATCTGGTTTTCCAAGGGGGCATCAGCCAATGTGCAGCCCCCCAACCCGTGGTGAGGGGGCAGCAAGGGAGGGGATCTGGGGGGGCAGGAGATGGATGGGGTCAAAGCCTCAGGAGGTGTGTCCCAAGGTGAGCAGGGCCTGTGCTGCAGGTCCTGCTGTGCAGGGGAACAGATCCCTGTGCCCCATCCCCCCCTGGCAGCCCCTGCTGCACTTGGTGTCACAGATTTGGAGGTGAGTTCAGGGATTTGCTGCCCCACGGGTGTTGGGGGGCTCTGAGCCCACTGCCCACACTGTGGGGGTGCTGGGTAAGGCAGGAGGGGCAGGGGCTGCTGGG